GGCTCCATCTTTGCCAACCCCAAGCCTTACTGAAGAAATATGTGGGAAGAGTCCCTTGGCTGCGGGAGCACCATTTCCTAATGAATACTCCTATAATCTTAATTTACAAATCCCATCCTCCAGCCCTTGAGACTAGCGAATATGTACCATTATGTTAAAAAAATGAACAAAAATAAAGAAAATGAAAAGTTAAAGAGCAAATAGCCTTTCTAAAAGTTAGATATATAAACAAAAGATCATGCAAATGTTCTTCACAGACATCGCAACTGATCTTTTGAAATCTCCTTTTCTTTGGTAACCAATCGCTAAACCTCAAATGTTAAGTGTTGATGAAGAAAATCTCAAAATAATCTACCCAGGAAACTTAAAGCTAAGGTGGACATGGTTCCTACCAGAATCAGTAGAAATATTAACATATCAGTCTGGAACCCTTGGTGACCACATGTGAGAAAGACACTTGGACAACTTTAAAGGCGTCCTAATCTCTAACCTCCAGCAATTTTTGTTAGGAGTCTGGACCATAAAGGCAGATGCAGTTATTGAGTCATTTAAAGGTGGCAGTCTTTAAGTTAACAAAGTTTGAGAAATTCAAGATGCTTAATGGTTCAAAGACCGTGAGCAGTTTGGGCTCACACAGACATGAAGACAGCGAGGGACTGAGTGACCCTCCGGGGAGAGAAGGTAAATGTGGTGAGAAACAGAAGCCTGGTTAGGAGAAGGGGAAAGTAGGGCAGGGTGAGTGGCAGAGCTGGCTGAGAGGTGTTTTAGTGACACCCCTCTCCCCTCCCTTTGTCTGGGCCATTTTGTGCCCAGCTAAGGTGGACCTGGGGCCTGGGGCTCATCACCAATTCCAGAACAAGATGGCTTCACAGATGAATTCCACCAGACACACAAGGTAGAATTAAACCACTCTTCTTAAATTTTTCCAAAAAAGTAGAAGAGAGAACACTTTCAAATTCATCTTATGAGAATAGCTTTGCTCTGATAACAAAACCAGACAACACCACCAGAAAACTACAGTCAATACCCCCAGTGAATATAGATAAAGAAGTCCTCAACAAAATACTAACAAACCGAACACAACAGCTTGTTTAAAAGTTTAAATGCTATGATCAAGCAGGATTTATCCCTGGGGGATGCACAAACAGTTCAAGGCCTGCAAATCAATCAATATACTACACCACATTCACAAAATTATATCAAAGACCACATGATCATCTCCATAGAAGTAGAAAAAGCATTTGATAAAATTTAATATCTTTTCATGATAAAAACTCTTACACTAGGCATAGAAGAAACTTACCCCAAAATAATAAAGGCCCCATGTGAAAGGACTCTACAGTGAAAAACTGAACCTTTCCTCTAAGATCAGGAATAAGACAAGAGTGCCCAGTCTCAGCTCTTGTACTCAATGAAGACCTAGAGGCCCGAGTTAGCCATAGCAATTAGACATGGGGGGGGGGGGGGGGGGCGGAAATGCATCTGAATAGGAAAGGTAAAGTAAAATGAGCAATTTGCAGATGACATAATCACATCTGTATAAAATTCTGGAGACCACACATATACAACATCTAGAACTGATAAACGATTCAGGAAAGTAGCAGGTTAGAAATAGAAAAACATTATATTTCTATATACAACAAATAATACAAAAAAGAAATGAAGAAAATAATCCATTTACAATAATAACAAAAATAAAATAATACTTAGGATTCAACCTAACCAAAGGAGTGGAAGTCTTCTACTCTGAAACTTAGAGACAACCCACTCTTCCTTGAAGCTATTCTGCCATCTTTGCTCAAGAACCAGCAAAGGTTTTCCTTGACTGTTCCACAAATCCAGAATTTCACCAAGTCAATATGTCACTTAACCTACCTCATCCTACATTGACCCAGAACTTGGACTCTCTGCCAATTTGTTCATCTGATTGCCATCACCCACGCGGCCCCCTCTCCCTATTCACCCCTCACCCCTCCATGATCGGCATACCCTCCCTCATCAGCCCCACTCACCACACACCTCATTTGACCTATGGTGGCTTGGTCACATGGCCTCATAGGTGGAAGAAGATCACAGAAGGATGTGAGTAAGTATGTGAACCGAAGTTTATTCAAAACTAGTCTCCTCTTGGAACCTTCAATGGCAGCCAATTTCATTTATTTTATCCTCAATCTTGTTATACTTAATAAGCTCAATTTAAACAATAATAGCCTGATTCCATAATTTCTTTTGGAGTTACCTGAAATACCTCTCTCATGACTACTGAAAATCTGGAGGCTATCAAAGACCAAAAATAATTTTGGTTGGGTGTCAGTAAACACACATTTTTCTCCCCTCCCTTACCCTTCTGGTCAAGTTTCAAGTTCAGAAAGGTCAATCTGGAACTACTGCATACACTTCCAGCCCCTGAGTGGTGTTGCTAAGACGTTGGCATTTCCTTTCACTCAGAGAAGGAAGTCGAAGGCAAGTCAATTCACGCCTTGCCATCTTCCTCCTCTGCACAAATCACAGGAAGGCCTGGATATAGGACGTATTGGTTGGCAAATATATAGTTATTGGTTGGGGATTATACAAAATCTTTTGGGTGACCTCTGACTAAATGATTCCTTGTCTAATGAACACAGGCAGGCAGAGTCAGGGGAGTGTGTATATATTTGTGTGTGTGTGTGTGTGCGTGTGTAAATTTAAGTCTTAAAAATCTCTCTTTTGGATCCAATAGTATGTCCTATAAAAGAAGCTGATGGGAACTAACAAAAGGATGTATGGCACTTTATAAAATTTGTGTCACAATCACCTTTCCCTGGACAGTTGAAATAAATTAAATCTGTTCCAAATCTTATACCTGTCTTTCTGCTTTAATCTCTATATTGATTTTTGACCAAACATCCTCAGGACTTGAAATAATCAAATTGCACCAGACAAAACACAAATGACCTATTTTGCTTTCAGACTGGTTTTTTTAGATTCAGTCTTTACTTATAATAATTGAAAAAAAGAATTAAGCCAAAACATACAGTCAATAGCTGTCATCTTCATCAATTTTACTTTTCTACTAATGGATATAAGTCTAGTTGTTATTCTTGCAATCTGTCAATTGGATGTCAAAAAGCCATTTTGCAGCTGTTCAAAACTCATGGGCCCTTACAGTACCCATCATTACACTGTCACCTTCATTTCATTGGCAGATTTTTGAAATTGTTTATAATTTACACACACAAAAAGAGTTTTCTGCAAGAAACTTAGTCATATTTGGACAAATCAAAGACAGGTTTATTAATTAGTAAAAGTTAAATAACTATCTCCTAAAAATCTCTTACCTTCATTTTCTCTGTGATTTAAGATGTTTCTAATTACTTTTTCAGCCCACAATGGACAAGGCCTTATTTCCTATGTTTTTAAATGATTATGACATTTTTTTTTTTTCTGAATAGAACATTTCCTTGCCTTAGTCTTTAAGAAAAAGTTAGTATCTGTTTTCACTTTTTTTTCCTGGCCAGGTTCAAAAACTATTTCTGTAATGCAAGATTTTTTTAAGTAAGAACTATTTTTCTATGTCTACAGAAATACGATCAACATTTAAAATGTGGAAGCTCTGCTCATTTTCCCTCTCCAAAATATTCTAACACCGTTCTTTGACATTAAGTTCTAAGTTCAATGTGTATCTCATGCCAGGCTTCCACCATCCTCGAGACGGACAGAGGAGGCTGGTGTGCTGCCTCTCAATAGATGAATGGATAAAGAAACTGTGGTATATATACACAATGGAATATTACTCAGCAATAAAAGAATAAAATTATGGCATTTGCAGATAAATGGATGGAGTTGGAGAATATCATGCTAAGCAAAGGAAGCCAATCCCCAAAAATCAAAGGCCGGATGTTTTCTCTGATAAGTGGATGCTAATTCACATGGGGGTGGGGCATGGGACAAGTGGAGAAATTGAATTGAACAAAAGGGGTGGGTGGGGAGGGGAAAGGGCATGGGGATAGGAAAGATGGTGGAATGGGATGGTCATCATTACCCTAGGTACACGTATGACTGATTGCACAAATGGTGTGACTCTACTTTGTGTACAACCAGAGAAGTGAATAATTGTGCTCCATTTGTGTACAATGAATCGAAAAGCATTCTGCTGTCAGGTATAACTGATTAGAACAAATAAATAAATAAATAAACAGAGTGTCTGCATATGGAAATCCCCTCTCCTCCAGCCATTTCCTCATTGCAAGGGCCCCAGCAGGTGCAGTGGCTGAGGCTGTGGTTAATAGCCTTTCTCCTTCAGTTCCATTTCAGGAAGGACTATCAGCCTGCAGTGTCATCTGAGGCCAAAGGCGTAGCCAAAGCCTAGGGAGCCTTGGCTCCAAATGTCCAAACACAAGCCAAGATCAAGAAACTGGCCAAAAGCATAGGAAAGAAAGCAAGGGACCACTCAGATGCAGACCTTGAAGGTCAGCTCAGGGAGCCTCAAGGTCAGGGTGCTTCTGTGCTCAGGTCTGAAACCAACTGAGAAAAGGCTCTGCTCTGGCCCAGCAGCAACCACATGATCCCCCAGCTCGTGCCTCCAGTCACCCCGAGAACAACTTACACGTGACCTAGCACTGTGTCATTACTGCTGGGGTTACCGAGGGATGATACCACCCTATCACCTGCAACAAAAATATCAATAGAATCTGGTGAGGTAGGAGTAATGAGATTGAAACACAGGACCCGTAACATCACGCTTTTGGTTTTGATTTTCTTGATTTCAGGAACATGGAAGATGAAAAAAATAGAAAATGTTTTTTTTTTTTATTGTACAATTTGTGCTAAACGGATTAGTGAGATAAAAAGATCCTGAATCCTAGAATAATGATAAATGTGGCCGAACTAAACCATTAAGAACACGGTTGAACAGTAGCATCTCATTAAATGAATGCAGGCACCACAGAAAGAACAGCAGCAACCCATCCTCAATGGTTGGCTTTTTCCCATTTTGCCCCTGGAAAACACGGCCCACTCACCGTCAGTGATGGTCAGTTTTGCCACGAAGGTTTCATTTTCTCCAGAGCGGGCAGAGAAGCGGCAGCGGTACAGCCCGGAGTCCGAGGCGGTGGCGTTCGGGATGAGGAGCCAGCTGCTCCTGCTGCCCTGGCTGCAGTTGCTAAGGATTTGCCTGGGGTACTTTGAGGTGTAACTCCTCCCTTGGGACAAGTTGCAGCAGGTTAGGAGGTCTATCTGATAGGGCTGGATCTTTTCCCAGGTGACTTGATGCACCAGCCCATCCATCTGAAGCTGACAGTTGAGTGTGACATTTTTTCCAGATTCTGAGACGATGTGGTAATTCAATGGTGCATCTGTCTCAAAACTATCTGAAAAGAAGTAGCAAGTGATTAGACTTAGGTAGTCACATTGTTGGACTCAGAGGTGGAAGCCACCCAGAAAGTTCTATCAAAATGGTTAGCGATGATATTTAATGGAGTTTCACCCTTGGTAAGTGATGGCTTTATATTGCATTTTTGCAAGAGAAAGGAACTTCTTAAAGGCTGGTAGTCAGAAAAGAGGACTCGACATTCACACATAGTCTTGCAGTGTTTCTTGGTTAACCAGATAATGAGAAATATAACCAAAACCCCTGGCACTTTTCTCTTTAGTGATTTTATCATGAGTCTGAACTTCACAACACTCCTGCAGTCGTGCTGAGCCAGTGACTCAGGATCTGACTGTGAGTATCAAAATTTCCAGATTAGAGTCATACCAACTAGGATTTTAGTGGTTATAAAAAAGGTACTAGAGGCTGGGGCTGTAGCTCAGCGGCAGAGCACTTGCCTAGCATGTGTGAAGCACTGGGTTTGATCCCTAGCACCACATAAAAATAAGCAAATAAAGGCATTCTATCCATCTATAACTACAAAATTTTTTTTAAAAAGGTACTAAATCATTTTCATTGAATATATCCATAAACTCATTTTTTAGACATATATGCTTTGTATTGTGCCTCAGTAGAGACTACACATGGAGTGAATTCCTGGTACCATGAAAGTTCTCCAATATTCTCCCCACTCCCAATACCATTTCTGGAATTTCCAGCACAAGCATTCAGGAACTGCCCTAAATACCTGAAGTAACAGGTCCTAGTGTGTTCTATGTACCCCATGGAGTCCCTGTGTCCCTTTTGGAAATCTTCAAAGTCAAACTTATTTTCAAAGTAATATTAAGATGTAATGGACTCTCTTCACTCTCTTCACTCCCAAGTATACAGCAGATTCGGCCACAGGCTCTGACCGCCCACGGATGTGTGCTTGAACATGCATGTGTTTGGAATTGTGCTCAGCATTAACCTCCAGCACTGTAGTGTGATAGCTACAGCCTGTGTAAGCAAATGCTTTTGGGGTGGGTGCCTCAATAATTTTGAAGAGTATAAAAGGGTCCTGAGACCAAGAAGGTTGTGAACCTAATGTAGAGAATGAACTGAAGGAATGATTTCTCAAAATTCTGGTAGCCAGAGCAGCAGCAGGTGTACCTGTTTGCAGTGATCACACCTTCCTTCCTCTGATGGCGCTGCTGCTGCCAGCCCAGGGTTTTGACCCGACATCTGAGGGGGAAGGAGGCCTGAGCAGGGGTGAGGTCGCGGAGCTGGTGGGCAACAGAGGAAACGCAGAGGGGAAGGTGTCTGTCATCTGTGTCACAATTGTGCTCTGCGTGGCCAGAAGCCTCTGACTTACAAGAGGAACAACAGTGACAACAACCGAGGAGCGATGGGTGGAAGGAGATAAAAAGGAAGAGAAGAAGGAAAGGACACAGCACAGTTAGAGATGTGGTCTCCCCTCCTGCCGCCTCGGCCTCTGGAGTGGCTGGGATCCCAGGCATGGGCCACAGGGCTGCCATGTGAGAGCCTCGGAGAAGGAATGTGTAACACACAGTAAGATTTACTATCTGACACTTCACTGTCTTTACGCTAAGTGAGAACCCTGTGCGTACCACAGTTCACTCCCACTGAGAGTCAGCTTCAGCCAGTGGTTCCAGGTGTCAGAACGTCAAGAGAAGCCACAACCCTCGGTTTTTCAGTCTGTGACCATGCAACTGTGCACCCGAGTTAACACTTCAGCCACATGACAAGCACATCGAAACGCTTCATCTGAAGTTTTAAACCAACACAAGAAAAGGGAAGGAAAAGGTGGAGAGGGAGAAAATTCATTTAAAAATGGGGGAAAGAACAAGAAAATTAAAGCTCAAAGAAAGGAAAAGGGAAATGAAAATTAAGGTGGGAAAGAAAGAGGAGAGAAACGGAAGGAACGAGGGGCCACAGGAAGACAGCTGAGTCGGACAGCAGCACCCCGTGCTGGGGAATGAGAGGACACACGGGAAATGGCGGTGTGTCCGCTAGCCACGCAGGAGCCTGGGAGTAAGCGGCCCACAGGTCCTCGGTGCGGATTTGCTGTTTGACTTCAGGGCTCTCTCACAACTGCTTTTCTTCTTCCCTCTGGATGCTTCTCTCTTCCTACGCAGGAGCCGTCTTCACCCGCCTCTCTCACACAAACCTGCTCCCACGAAGCTACCCCACACCTGTTGACTCAGGTACAAAGTGGGGTCCTCCTCAGGAATATCTGCATTTTCACAGAGGATAAATCCATAAAGCAATGGGGATCCCCAGTGACACAGATCCAGGCCTTGGGGACACAGATGGAGGTGGCCCTGTGAGAGCAGGGTGCAGGGAGGTCACAGTACAGGCTCTGTATAAGGACCCAGGCCCACTTATTCACAGACTCACACTAGGCTTGAAGACACAGGAGAGGCAGTGGGTTTGGAAGAACAGAGTGGTCCCCATGGTCCCTTCCGGATGACCTGCGGGACCGAGTGGCGGTGGCAGATGAAGAGCAAGACCCACGGAGGCCTGCAGAATCTGCCTTGCCTCAGATGTGGCTTGTGGCTTCTCGGGTGACCTGGTCCTCCTGCGTGGCCAGATGGAAGGCTACCCAAGGATGACACCGAGCATAACAACCAGGAAGACCCCCCCCCCCCCAAACAAGACCATCACCCTGACACACTGGGAGTTCAAAAGTGAGTCCATCCAAATCAGGGACCCAACTATCCTAGTGAAGAGGGAAGGAGGAGGTGGATTCTAATGTAATGCTGGAAACAGAAATGAAAGTAACAACTCCAGTTTACTCCACACCTACATTCAGCTGTGAGTTCATTACAGGGCGACACCCTGAAGCATTCTGTACCTTGCATGTGACTTTTCTGGCATGACAATCCATCATTCCTAAAGTCATTTCAGTGCTTCATTCCCTTCCTCAAGCACCACTCAGTCCTAGGAGTCCAGACGTTCCTGGTCACACCTGTGCCTCATGCCTCAGCCCTCGTACACTTGCAATCCTGCTGCCTGAGACTCCTGAATCTCTGGAATCACAGAGACATACCACCGTGCCGGGCCTAGCCAGGCCTTTTTACAGTTCTCTTTTCTTAACACTGAGAGCCAGGCTTCACCTGGAGTAGAGGAGAACTCAATATTTTTTGAATGAAGAATTAATTTGCACTTTCACTCTGTAGGCAGTATTCCGTGTCTTTGGGTGGATGGAGGGTTTTTACATCCAGAATAACTACAAATATTAAAATTGTGTTTTAAATGGGTATTTGCAATGCCAGAGTGAATTCACGGCTATGTTCTAAGCAGAGGTCACCAGTATCTGTAGACTCAGAAAAAGACGCCCATGTTTCCACAGAGCCACCTTGTGAGGAGCAGTCTCGCCAACATAATCCAACTGCATGCTGATCAAGTCCTGAAGTCTGACTACCAGTTTACAGAGAGTAGAGAAACGTGCAGAATGACCCATGGGAAAGCAGTGTGTGGGATATGAAAACCCAAAACAAAAGATGAGGGAGAAGGGAGGGAGGGAACTAAAGGGGAGAGACGTACCAACCAGTTCCAGTGCATGGAGTTGAAAAGGGACGCTGGGAGGTCGACTGGAGGTGTGCGGTGGAGATTCAGTATGTAATAAGAACTGAGTGAGAGGAGGCATGAGATACAGGTGATCTCATGGGTCCCCACTTGACGGTCCAGCCAGACGGCGCACGGGAGTTCACGGTGCTCTTCTTTCCACGTTGGTGTGTGACTGTCATTTCCATAATAAAAGATGTAATAGCTGCACCATGAGGTCTGGGAAGCCGGGGACTAAGCTGTTGTACGCACCTTCACCCATGACCATGGTTCATGCTCAAAGCAATATAATCAGGTGATATAGGATGGGCCTGAAGGGCTGGGGATATGGCTCAGTTGGTAGAGTGCTTACCTCGCATGCCCAAAGCACCACCAGGAAAAAAAAAAAAGGGACTGGTTCACGGGGGAAAACAGAACTTTAACTTTTCCGAGGTGCAGTGTTGGCAAATAGCAGAACCCAAAACCAGATGAACACATTGGGTGTCAGAGCCCTCCACGCCAGAACCCCAGCCCCCGAGGAAGCCTCCCATTGTCTTTAGCCTCTACCTCTGAGTGGACTGATGCTTCTTCACCTCTAAGTAGGGTCTCTCTCCAGCCCTGAGAATCCACTTGGGACCCTAGGGTGCCATCCACCCCTCTTTCTCCTCCCCTTTTCATTGACTTTCTGGAAGGAGCGGGTTCTTCCCCTGGCTCTGCCCCCTCATTTCTCACGAGGACCTCATGCGATCTAGCACCTATCTGACCATCTGCCAACACTGCAAATGTCACCAAGTCCTTGGCCCTGAGCACCAGCTGTGTGGCCCTCCTGAAAACCGTCCACCCACCCTTGGTTTTGGTGACATAGGCTTTCCTGTCCCTCTCTCCCTCCTCTGGCCTCCCTCCTCTGCCTGTTGAGTACTTCCTTGACTGGTCCTTGTCAATGCGACCATGCCCCAGGGTCACCTTGCCCTCCCCCTCCACACACCATCCTTGGGTGACCCTATCTACTTTCACTTGTCAACCACTTCTCCTGTGCAGGTGAAGTGCAGATCTCTAATTCTCTCTCTGACAGGCCTCTCCAGAGCTTCTGAAACAAGAACAAGAACATGTTCTTATGAAGTTCAAACCAGACTACAAGTGGAACAGCTCAGAATTGCCCTAAGCCTTCTGTGGGAGTGCTGTTACTGTACCAGCCCAGTTGGAGTGATAATGATAACAGAGGCTTCACGTGTTCCCAGCCATGCCCAGAGGATGAAGATGCTCGGTTGAGAACCTTTCCAAAAACTCTTAAGAATGACCCATACAAATGCATAATAAAATGTTGACTGCATAGTGATTAATTATAATGCATAATGATTAAGGAAGCATTCTAAAATGACCTGTGACAGAGCTCTCAAAAATAAGCAGGCAAATAAATAAATAAACACACTAATTTCCAGTTACAATCAGGGT